TTTTTTTGTTGTTTTTAAGATATTATGAACTAAAAGAAACCAGCAAGATCTGTGTTTGTTTTTATACAGGTCATCTTTTCCTACCAGTTACTAACAAGTTTCCTACAAAGCACTCTTATTTTTTTCCAGTGACACAATAGCAATATAGTCTAAGCCAAGTAAGTGCTATTTATATATGTACTATTTAGGTAATCAATTTACTAGCTCTAGGTCACACTTCTGTCAGAAAGGAATCTTCATCATGCTCCCAACCTTTACCTGCAATTACCTTCACATTCCTATTTCTCTTATTCTCTAGGGCCTGATCTATTAAGGACTAAACTGACTTTTACGTATTTGCTTTTGTATTTTGCTGCTTTTTTGCTTTATGCCAAATCTAGAGGGAAGAGGGGAAAGAGCAAGGAAAGAAAAGAAGGAGGCCTCCACAGGAACTCACTTCAAAGAGTTTGAGGCTTTTTGAATTGCTCATTGAACCCCCTGACTTCCTCTGAAAATTTGGAAGACATTTTTAGTACTTTTTTTTCCTCATGAACTTACTTTAAGTAAGGTTTTATTTCTTGCCAAGGTGATCAGCTCCGGGGCAGACGCGTTCTGCCGTGGAGCAGGGGATTGAGACGGGCAGGGCTTTTTTTTCCGGCATCGAGTCCACTCGAAGCAGCCAAGGGAGCCGCCAGGACCCGGCAGCCCTCGCGAGGGAGGCTGACAAGGCGTAGGTGGAGCCAGCAGCGCCCCCTCCCTGGACGTTCTAAAGCAGCCCCTAGGGAGCACGAGCTACCAGGAGCACGTCGAGCAGGGCGGGCAAACAGGGCGTGGCACGTCAGAAGGGAGTGGAGCGGCAGTTTGTGCGGCAGTTCGTGCAGGGAGGGCCCCTCACAGCTCTCTTGCAGCGGTCTTCTGCTTCGGTACTGGTACTGGTAGCCTGCTTGCGAGAAACCTGGCTATGGTATCAACCAGGCAGAAAAACATGGCCTCCGCATCTCTTGCGGCCTCTTCAGCCGCGGTCACCAATGTGGCTACTCAGATGGAGAGCTCGGGGAAACACATCTCCATCCAGGTCTTGGGCTGCAGGGTGTGCCCAAGTCTTCTGTCCCTATCCAACAGTAGCAGCGAGGGGTATGCCTGTGGGAGATGTGCCCAGGTTGAAGAGCTGCTCAAACAGGTAGCGGAACTTCAGGAGGAGGTGAGCAGGCTCAGGAGCATCAGGGAGTCAGAGAGGGAAATTGACTGGTGGAGGTGTACTCTGCCCTCCCTGAAACAGACTCAGGAGCCTGCTGCAGCACAGGTGCCTCCTGCTGCGCAGAAGACAAAAGTCCCCTCATCCCACTAGGCAGTAAGAGGGGACCTAGGCCAAGGGGGGGAATGGAGGCAGGTTCCTGTTTGGGGTGGTAGGTCAGACCTGTCCCTGCCCACCTCACCTTCCCATCTACCCTTATGTAACAGGTACGAGTCTCTAGAACACCATAGAACAATGAAGTAGACGAAAGCCCATCCCAGTTGGAGAGGGTGCCTAAGGCAAGGCAACCTACCCTCCGCATTGCTACATTGTCTGTCAAGAAAGACAGAGGGGTTATTGGCATGGGGGACTCCCTTTTGAAAGGGACAGAGGGCCTGATAGGCCGACTGGACCCAACCCAAAGGGAAGTCTGCTGCCTCCCCGGGGCTCGGGTGAGAGACTTAGCTAAGAAAGTCAAGTGCCTGGTACAGCCCACCGACTACTACCTGCTACTGGTCTTTCAGGCTGGTAATGATGAGGTAGCAACGAGAAGTTCAAGAGCGATCAGAAGGGACTTTAGGGCTTTGGGGCGACTAGTCAAAGGTTGAGAAGCACAGGTTGTATTTGCCTCTGTCCTTCTGATAGGGGGGATTGATGCTGACAAGCGGGCTTACCACATTAACATGTGGCTTCGGGACTGGTGCAACCGACAGAACTTCAGTTTTTCTGATCATGGGAAGGTCTATGTGACGCCAGGCCTGCTGTCACCAGATGGGATGCACCTCTTTCAGAGAGGGATAAGGATTTTGGCTCAGGAGTTGGCGGGGCTGGTAGTTAGGGCTTTAAACTAGAGTTGAAGGGGGAAGGGATAAAATCAGGCACGCTGGTGATGAGCTAAGGGATGGTGCGCTAGAATCAGAGGGACTGTGTGCCAGAGAGGTCCTTCGGTCTGCTCCACAAGGTGCTGTGTGTAGGGAAGCGCATTTGAAGTGCTTCTACACAAATGCACGCAGTATGAGGAATAAAATGGATGAGCTAGAAATCTTGGCCCAGTCCCACAGCTACAACATCATCGGCATAAGCGAAGCCTGGTGGGATGAGTCCTGTGGCTGGTGTACTGCAATAGATGGTTACGGGCTCTTCAGGAGGGACAGGCAGGGTAGGCGAGGTGGCGGGGTGGCGATGTATGTGAAGCATGGGCTGGACTGCGTGGAACTTCAGGTTGGGGATGGCAAAGTTGAGAGCCTCTGGGTAAGGATTAAGGGACGAACAAATAAAGGGGATGTCGTTGTGGGAATCTATTACAAACCACCTGGCCAGGACGACAATGCCGATGAATTATTCTTTGCAGAACTAAGAGATGCCTCGAGGTCAACTTCCCTTGTCCATATGGGGGATTTCAACTTGCCAGACGTCAACTGGGATCACCACACGGCTGACACGAGCAAGTCCAGAAGGTTCCTAAAGCACATAGATGATAACTTCTTGGTGCAGGTGCTAAGGGATCCCACTAGGAAAGGTGCCCTCCTAGATCTGTTGCTGGAGAACAGAGAGGGTCTTGTGGGGGACGTGGCAATTGGCAACCATCTCTGCCATAGTGACCATGAAGTGGTTGAATTTAGAATTTATGGTGACAGAAGGAAAACTGCCACCAAAACTTCAGCCCTGGATATGGGGAAAGCAGACTTCAGGCTGCTCAGGGAACTAGTCAGCAAGGTCCCCTGGGAAGCTGCTTTTGAAGGCGTTGGCATCCATCAGTGCTGGTCAGCCTTTAAGCACCGCCTCCTAAAAGCACAAGATCAGGCAATTCCAAAATATCGGAAGACAGGCAGGTGGCACAGCCGGCCGGCCTGGCTGACCAGGGATCTTCTACTGGAGCCTAGACGGAAAAAGAAAGTGTACGGCTGCTGGAAGGGGGGTCAGGTGACGAGGAAGGAATACAGGGATGCTGTCCATGTTTGTAGGGAGAAAATTAGTGTGGCCAAAGCCCAACTACAGTTGAAGCTGGCCATGTCTGTGAGAGACAATAAAAAGTTTTTTTTAGATATGTGAACAGAAAAAGGAGAACCAAAGAAAACATAGGTCCGCTACTTGACGGGGAAGGTCTCCTCACAGACAAGGACATAGGCGAAGCAGAGACGTTTAATGCCTTCTTCACCTCTGTCTTCAGTGCTGATGATGGGCTTTGGGACCCTGGGTGCCCTGAGCAGGAGGACCATGACGGTGGGAATGACAAACTCCCAACCGACCCTGAACGCGTGCGGGATTTGCTGCTCCACCTGGATCCATACAAGTCCATGGGTCCGGATGGGATCCATCCCAGGGTGCTCAGAGAGCTGGCTGACATCGTTGTGGGACCTCTCTCAATTATTTTTCAAGGATCTTGGGAATCTGGAGAGGTCCCAATAGACTGGAAGCTGGCAAATGTGCCAATTTTCAAGAAGGGCAAGAAAGAAGACCCTGGTAACTACAGGCCTGTCAGTCTCACTTCATTGCCTGGTAAAATTATGGAGATGATTCTTGAAGTTATTGAGGCGCACCTGGGGGACAATGCAGTCATTGGTCCCAGCCAACATGGGTTCACGACGGGTAGGTACTGTTTAACAAATTTTATTTCCATTTTAAAAACAAAGCTGCACATTTTTACTTGACATTTCATTGATAACAATATTCACTTGTCTAGGAACAAGTCATGTTTATTCAGAATCAGGATATTAGCGTGCCTTTCCAAAAGCCAAATCCCCAGCCAGGGGATGGAGGCCAATTTTATATTGATATGGTCCAGATCAAGTTGTCACCAAAAGGTGCGCTGCATTTATCTTCATGCTCTCAGTTGTCTTTCACCTGTTTCTCCACTAGCAATGAGGCTCCAGAGCAGGTGGACTGACTTGTTAATCTGGCAAACATTTGTTCCAGGGAAAATATATTTGCGAAGGGGAAGGGAGTAACTTGTTGCAAATTAACAAGATCATCCTTTCTGTAGTGAGGAGTCAGTTAACTTCAAACAATCTAAGGAACTGGGTAGTACCTTCTACTTAGCATAATCCATGCAGGAGCTAAAAAAAAAAAAGCAATAATCTGATGCCATATTCCATTCCCTTTGCCACTGATCTTTAACCTCAGCTTGCCTTATTGTGATAAGGAGCTTGCCAAGAGAAGTTGTGGATGCTCTATCCCCGGAGGTGTTCAAGACCAATTCTAGCTACTTTAGTTGAAAATGAGTAAACCATTAAAAGTTACTAGAAATATCTACAGAAAATCAGTCTCAGCTACCCATACAAATTATATAGAAAATATCATGTGTCGTGGTTTAACCCGGCCGGCAGCTAAACACCACGCAGCCGTTCGCTCACCCTCCCCCCTCCCTCTCTGGGACGGGGGAGAGAAATGGAAAGTGAAGCCCGTGAGTTGAGATAAAGACAGTTTAATAAGACAGGAAAATAATAATAACAAAATAATAATAATAAAATAACAATAATAACAATAATAATAATAATATGGTGATAATAGGGAAATAATAATAGTATGTACAAACAAGTGATGCACAATGCAATTGCTCACCACTCGCTGACCGATGCCCAGCCTAACCCCGAGCAGTCCGGCCCCCTCCCCCCGGCTAGCCACCCCTATATATTGTTTAGCATGACGTCAGATGGTATGGAATACCCCTTTGGCTAGTTTGGGTCACCTGTCCTGGGTCTGTCCCCTCCCAGCTCTTACTGCACCCCCAGCCTGCCCGTTGGCAGGACAGAGCAAAAGGCTGAGATGTCCTTGGCTTAGTATAAGCACTGCTCTGCAACAATTAAAGCATCGGGGTGTTATCAGCACTCTTCTCATCCTAAGCCAAAACACAGCATTCCACCAGCTACTAGGAAGAAAATTAATTCTGTGCTAACTGAAACCAGGACATCATGTCATCCCATTAGTCTGAGGTGACCATGGAAAATATATTACTTTTGAACAAATCGATGAGCCTCCACAGCAGAATATGCATCTCCAGAAGGTAAGGATATTGGCCAGTGCAATCTGACCTTTTCACTTTGAGACTGCAACAAAATAGGTTTAATTATTGGTAGTCAGATATTACTGGGTAGACTATTAAGCAGTGAGTCATCCTCAATCTATATAGTGGCTACCACATTAAAACAAGAACTAACGCTGTCCCTGACAGGCATTAAGTTAGTGTCCTGCTGGACTTCTCAGATAAGTGAATGGGCCTGGAGACTGAATTACCCATTCATCTATACTTCAAGGTATGTTTCTGGGTTAAGGAAAATTGATCAACAGCATTAAGGATGTTGCATCAATGTAGTAGTAACAATCACTCAAAACTTTTACTTGCCATTAAGAGACCCCACCATAGGTAAATTCTGTTGCATACTGTATGTCTACTGGTAAGTCTTATAATTCTTAACCAAGTCAGTGTATTCACAAGCCTAAATGCTTAAGACAAAGGATGTACCACTTTGTTATTCCCTCTCATTTTATACGCTACTATATGTTCTCATATACTATATATTTAATCCCATGCATTTTATCTCTTTTTCATCTTTTTCTCATCCTTGCCACAGAAGTGTATTCAAGAAATGAGTTAGAGAAGTAGCTAGAGCCTACACATTTTTTTAAAATAAAAAAGAAACATCAGTAGAACTATATCTTTCCTATTTCACATACCGCTATCACCAAAAGAAACTTCAGGGCAGTAATTAGGATTTGAGAAATAGCTGCAGTGTTTGATATTCTTACTTGCACAGGGCATTAGCTACGTATGTGATAATTAAATTTTCTCACAAATACAAAGATAAGCTTTATACAGGACCCTAATATACTTCTTTAAGAATTAGAAACCAGAGATATTCCATTAGGTTAACACTTATACTGTCCTTTTCTATGTGAACTGTGAAGTCACATTCTCAAAATTAGTGTTAAGCAACAGTATTCAACCATACAAAAATTAAGAACTAAATTCCAATTATAAGTGTCAGTATAAAATATCTAGAGTTTCAGGAGATGCACCCCAGGATTGAGTTTAAGTCACAAAAGTCTTCTATGAAGTGCCCATCATTAACATTTTTCAAGCATCGATACCCGTTCTTCCATTTTATCCTGCCTATCGAGAGCAGCTTCAACAGCATCAAAGAATTCTTCTTCATTAATCAGACTATTAGGACCCTCCTAGAGCATAAGAAACAAAACTAGTTTAAATTTTTGGAGACAAGAGCTCCAGCTAAGTTTAATATTGGAAATATATACGTATATATTATGCACATAACTGATAGAAGGAAATTCCTCCACAGACCTCAAATATTTTCAACAATATTCTTAGATTACAATTCAACTGAAAACCCTACTTGTTAAAGGAAGTTATTCCCTCTAACTACAATTTAGTGGTAGTTATATAAACAAGTAAAAGCAAACAGGAAACTGAGGATTGAGGAAGTGGCAATACACTTTGACATCAGATTTAAGCTTTTATTAACATATCTCCTCTTAAAACTGTTTAAAGTGTGTCAGAAAAGTAAGCATACTATCATAGTTGTGCAGTTAGACTTCTTCTGAGTATTCATTCCAGTGTCTTAGGGTAAATTTCAGATATGTACTCAAAACGTAACAATACAAGATAAAATCCTGGGAATCTCTTGAGAATTCTTGGAAAGAACAGTTTAGCACTAAACAGCAGGTAGAGTTGAGTCAAGTATTAAAAACTTAAGTCTAAATACAAAAAATGGTAATTTAAGAAGACTAGGTTTGCTGCTTTTATTGTATTGTAAAACAAACCAGTCTAGCAAGTTTCATAAAACTACAACAGGGATATCTGGGAGAAGCAGCTGGGTTCATAATCAGGTAGACAAAGTCCAACTTCCTATCCATCTTCTTCTTTTACATTTCATGCCTATGTCATAGCAGAGAACCTAAGCACAACTATCTTTTAAATATCTCAACGCATTACTACTATTTCTCAGGCTATGATTTGTAAACAGAAACAAGTGCTTGATTAATCTACATGAGAGGGTCAAGTTCTTGCAAATTACAGAAACTACAATATAGATGCATTAGCTTAAACTACCTTCTGAAGAAGAATATATCTTAGAATTTTACTAAATACCTGAGGAGGAAGCTGATGAAATATGCAATTTGTCAGCTGAAGCAGGACTTAAAATGACTGAATTTATGAACACATTTAAAGTGGCAGTGACAAGTTAAAAATCAATTTAAGTTAAACTTCAGATTCTAGGACTACCTCTGTAGTCAGGGTTTTCATATTTGCATTACATACTATACAGCTAACCCATTAAAAAGCAAACATACAAAACTATTGCATATGGATAGAGCAACAACAACCAAAAAAAAATCACAAGTAATTAGAAATATCTGTAAGAAAAATGCTCTAGACAAAAGCAGAACAAGAAAATCTGGGGTAAATACAGACTTCTATTCTCAAGAAGTTAAGGACTGAGATTCTTCATCCTGTTTCCATTTCCAAGGTAGAAAAATAAAAGTGGTATGAACACCTAACACCTTGATTTACAAACACACACACAAAAATACACACACACCACTTTTGAGAAATAAACCAGTCTTTGAACGCCTTAGCATTTTTTAAATTATCCAAGCAGAATTTCTACCTCATAGTCCAGCCCTCCAAAGTGGGACTTTTTCTTCAGTTCTGTCAAAGCATTTTTGTATGCTTCTTCTATTCTTCTCCTCTTCTCCATGTCCTGCAAAATTACACAACCATGTAATGCAGCAAGAATGAACTGGCTGATAATAGTAAATATGCCAGCCAATAAATGGAATAACCAGTATAGTGGGGTTTTTTTCCTAAGGAAAGATTACAAACCTGCAGATTTTATTTGCATGAATGCATGATGTGTGCCCATATAAACGCGTATATAATACAAAGCTTGGAAAGCTAGTTGTCTTGAGGATAGCTTTTTTAAGGTCATGTGGAAGAAACCAGATCAGCAAGCAAAAACTGGTATCTAGTTTAAACATAGCTATTCATGGTTTGTTGAGGGTCAGACTTGGTATCTGACTGACAGTTTATATAAATCTCCTTGACTGTTGTGGTTTAACAGGGCCGGCAGCAAAGCACCACTGAGCCCTTTGCTCACCCTCCCCCCCTGCAGTGGGATGGGGGAGTGTCCTGGTTTCAGTTAGAACAGAATTAATTTTCTTCCTAGTAGCTGGTGGAATGCTGTGTTTTGGCTTAGGATGAGAAGAGTGCTGATAACACCCCGATGCTTTAATTGTTGCAGAGCAGTGCTTATAGCAAGCCAAGGACATCTCAGCCTTTTGCTCTGTCCTGCCAACAGGCAGGCTGGGGGTGCAGTAAGAGCTGGGAGGGGACAGACCCAGGACAGGTGACCCAAACTAGCCAAAGGGGTATTCACAGAATCACAGAATTTCTAGGTTGGAAGAGACCTCAAGATCATCGAGTCCAACCTCTAACCTAACACTAACAGTCCCCACTAAACCATATCCCTAAGCTCTACATCTAAACGTCTTTTGAAGACTTCCAGGGATGGTGACTCCACCACCTCCCTGGGCAGCCTGTTCCAGTGCCTAACAACCCTTTCAGTAAAGAAGTTCTTCCTAACATCTAACCTAAAACTCCCCTGGCGCAACTTTAGCCCGTTCCCCCTCGTCCTGTCACCAGGCACATGGGAGAACTGGCCAACCCCCACCTCTCTACAGCCTCCTTTAAGGTATCTGTAGAGAGCGATAAGGTCGCCCCTGAGCCTCCTCTTCTCCAGGCTGAACAAGCCCAGCTCCTTCAGCCACTCCTCATAAGACTTGTTCTCCAGGCCCCTCACCAGCTTCGTCGCCCTTCTCTGGACCCGCTCAAGCACCTCGATGTCCTTCTTGTAGCGAGGGGCCCAAAACTGAACACAGTACTCGAGGTGCGGCCTCACCAGGGCCGAGTACAGGGGGACGATCACCTCCCTAGCCCTGCTGGTCACACTGTTTCTGATACAAGCCAGGATGCTGTTGGCCTTCTTGGCCACCTGAGCACACTGCTGGCTCATATTCAGCCAACTATCAACCATCACTCCCAGGTCCTTCTCTGCCTGGCAGCTCTCCAACCACTCCTCTCCCAGCCTGTAGCTCTGCTTGGGGTTATTGCGCCCCAGGTGGAGGACCCGGCACTTGGCCTTGTTAAACTTCATGCAGTTGACCTCAGCCCATCGGTGCAGCCTATCCAGATCCTCCTGCAGAGCCTTCCTACCCTCAAGCAGATCGACACACGCACCTAACTTGGTGTCATCTGCAAACTTACTGAGGGTGCACTCAATGCCCTCGTCCAGATCATTGATGAAGATGTTAAAGAGGACCGGCCCCAGCACCGAGCCCTGGGGGACGCCACTAGTGACCGGCCTCCAACTGGACTTGACTCCATTTACCACGACTCTTTGGGCCCGGCTATCCAGCCAGTTTCTAACCCAACGAAGCATGCGCCAGTCCAAGCCAAGAGCAGCCAGTTTCTTGAGGAGAATGCTGTGGGAGACGGTGTCAAAAGCCTTGCTGAAGTCAAGGTAGACCACATCCACAGCCTTTCCCTCGTCCACCCAGCGCGTCACTTTGTCATAGAAGGAGATCAGGTTCGTCAAGCAGGATCTGCCTTCCATAAACCCGTGCTGACTGGGCCTGATCGCCTGCTTGCCCTTCAAGTGCCGCATGATGACTCCCAAGAGGATCTGCTCCATGAGCTTCCCTGGTACCGAGGTCAAACTGACCGGCCTGTAGTTCCCCGGGTCAGCCCTCCGGCCCTTCTTGTAGATGGGCGTCACATTTGCTAGCTGCCAGTCAACTGGGACCTCCCCCGATAGCCAGGACTGCTGATAAATGATGGATAGTGTCTTGGCCAGCTCCTCTGCCAGTTCTCTCAGTATCCTCGGGTGGATCCCATCCGGCCCCATTGACTTGTGCACATCCAAGTGCCATACCAGGTCACCAACCAGTTCTTCGTGGATGGTGAGGGCCACATCCTGCTCCCCATCCCCTTCCACCAGCTCAGGGTACTGGGTATCCAGAGAACAACCGGTATTGCCGCTAAAGACTGAGGCAAAGAAGGCATTGAGCACCTCCGCCTTTTCCTCATCTCTTGTAACTAAGTTTCCCCCCGCAACCAGTAAAGGATGGAGATTCTCCTTAGTCCTCCTTTTTGTGTTGATGTATTTGTAAAAACGTTTTTTGTTATCTTTAAAGGCAGTAGCCAGATTGAGCTCCAGATGAGCTTTGGCCTTCCTAGTTTTGTCCCCGCATAGCCTCGCAACATCCTTATAGTCCTCCCTAGTGGCCTGCCCACTTTTCCAAAGATTATAAACCCTTTTTTTTCTCCTAAGCTCAAGACACAATTCTCTGTTGAGCCAGGCTGGTCTTCTTCCCCGCCAGCTCATCTTTGGGCACGTGGGGACAGACCGTTCCTGCGCCATTAAGATTTCCCTCTTGAAGAGTGCCCAGCCTTCCTGGACCCCTCTGCCCTTCAGAACCGCCTCCCAAGGGACTCTACCAACTAGTGTCCTGAGCAGCTCAAAGTCAGCCCTCCGAAAGTCCAATACAGCGGTTTTACTGGTCCCCTTCCTGGCCTCGCCAATAATAGTGAACTCCACCATTTCGTGGTCACTCTGCCCAAGACAGTTTCCAACCACCACATCTCCCACCACCCTACCAGCTGCTAGAAGGAAAATTAATTCTGTCCTAACTGAAACCAGGACAATGGTTGATGATTATTCTTTGTATTTTTAGGGGGAGCAGAGAGAGAGAATCAGTGGACTGGACTATCTAGGTTTCTTACAGAAATGCAGTGGCATTGCTAAAGGGGTGACTAGAGGAGGTGCTCTCCTAATACACAAATTAGATATAAAGCATGGTAGGTTGTTTTGCAGTACATCAACACATTGATATTATTGTAATGAACTCATAAAGCTAATGTACGTGCATGAAGACATGCTACATGCTAGATATGCTATGATAGTATGTAAATATTATTTTTTATCTTCCTGTAGTATTGTTATTAATAGCTACCGTTTTTTTAAGGAAAGTTGTAACTAGTTGTTTCTATGTTCATTATGTGATCTTATTTACAGTAACACTGTACTGGCAATAAATGATGTTTCGGTGCTCATTTTGGTGGATTTAACTGACATTATCTTGCAGAATTAACATTTTGTATTATAAATAAATTGTGCATATTTTGGTACAGAAGCACATGTACTGGGTCTGGCTGGGATGTTAACTTTCCCTGCAGCAGCCCATACAGTGCTGTGCTCTGTACTTGTAGCTGGAACAGCAGTGGTATCACACCAGTTGTAGTGCAATTGCCTGAAGTAACTAGGAAAATAAAACTAACATTCATATTTTAAAGAAAATGTACAGCTTAGTGTAAGCACTGCTCTGCAACAATTAAAACATCAGCATGGTATCAACATTATTCTCATCCTAAATCCCAAACACAGCACCCTACCAGCTACTAGGAGGAAAATTAACTCTGTCCTAGCTGAAACCAGGACATTGACACAGATGCTTGGGCAGTGATAACAAAGGGTGAAGAGTAAGACTGGTAAAAAGCTAACTTGTTGAATGTTGTTGAGATACTAATGAGCCAGAGCATGTAAGCTTGTATCTATAATTAGCTGGCATAGCATCTAGATGAATCATTTCATTAACTCCAATGCAGAGGAATTAACAGCTCAACATCGTTCTCCCATAATAGCTCTGTGACTGTACTATAGCCACGAATAATGTCTATGTCACTGTATATTTTGAATAAAGCAGTATCGCAGCATTGAGATTAAGCCTAGTATTTCCTCTACAAATTATATGTATGGGCAGATATTGCCAGTCAAAAAGTTATAATCACTTCTGAAATTCTTGTAGAATTCAGCTTTAGTACATGTACTGGGTCTGGCTGTGATGGAGTTAACTTTCCTGGCAGAAGCCCATATAATGTTGTGCTCTGCACTTCTAGCTAGAACAGCCCTGATATCACACCAATATTTTGTCTATTGTGCTGGCACAGCATCAAGACTCTCTCCAAGCCCCCCAAAGTCAGTAGGCTGGGGCTGGGCAATATGCAGGGAGGGGACATCACCAGGGCAGCTGACCTAAAACGACCAAAGGGATATTCCATACCATATGATGTCACACTCAGCAATAAAAGTTGGGAAAGGAGAAGGAGAAGGGGGAGCTCTCATTATGAAGACGTCTGTCCTCCCAAACAACTGCTACGCATACTGAGACCCTGCTTCCCAGGAAATGGCCGAACATCGCTCATTGATGGGTAGTGGAGAATATCTTTTCTGCCTGAAAGCAATGGGTTCTGGGACATTCAGAAATTGGGATACGCATTTGGCAAAGGCCACCTGCTTAGTCAATACTAGGGGATCTGCCAACCGAGCTGGACCTGCCCAATTAAACCTGTTACCTACTGTAGAAGGGGATAAAGTCCCTGTAGTGCACGTAAGAAACATGCTGGGTAAAACAGTCTGGACTACTCCTGCCTCAGGCAAAGGCAAACCCATTCGTGGAATTGCTTTTGCTCAGGGAATTGGATGCACTTGGTGGTTAATGCAAAAGAACGGAGAGGTCCAGTGTGTACCTCAAGGGGATTTAATACTGGGTGAGAATAGCCCACGAGTTGAATTGTAGCATGTTAATTATTATATAATACTGTATGTCATCACTACCATGGTTGCTATATACCATAGATGAAAATGGTGATTAATTAGAATGTATTGGAAAGAGTGTAACCTGAGCATGACATAAATGGTATGGAATAAGGGGTGGTCCTGGTTTCAGTTAGGACGGAGCTAATTTTCCTCCTAACATCGCTCATTGACTGGTAATACAGAATACTTTTTCTGCCTTCTGTGCATTCGCGTGAATTGTTGCTTGTTTATTTTTTTCCCCTCTTTCTTTCCCCTTGTCCTGGTTTCAGCTAGGACAGAGTTAATTTTCCTCCTAGTAGCTGGTAGGATGCTATGCTTTGCATTAGGATGGGAAGAGTTCTGATAACATGCTGATGTTTTAATTGTTGCAGAGCAGTGCTTACACTAAGCCAAGGACTTTTCAGCTTCTCGCTCTGTCCTGCCAGCGAGCAGGCTGGGGGTGCAGCAGGAGCTGGGAGGGGACAGACCCAGGACAGCTGACCCAAACTGGCCAAAGGGGTAT